CCGGCTGCCTCATTGGCTCAGAGCTTCACCAGCCAGAGCTCAGGCTGCTGGGGGCATCCCCCAAACACTGGGGAAACCGAGGCACATGGCTGGCTTGAGGCCAGGTCCCAACTGGGAATAGAACTCAGGAGTCCCAGTCTCCTCCCCACGCTCCTGGCTTCATTCCGCTTGTGGCCAGCCTGGATTAGTGCTACACCCCCCACCCCTCCATGCCCCCTCCTGCACCCCTGTCCCAGGGGTCGCCTGGTTGGGGACACCGGTCTCTGAAGGATGCCAGCCCCCTGGCTGTGTTCATTTGGCCACCAAACAGGGGCCTCACCTCCCCTCCCCCAATGCATCTAGCTCCCCGTGCGCCAGCCCCGTGCGCCAGCCCCCTGCCCGGGTGCCACCGTGAACAGCTCGCTGCTCCCAGCTTGAGAACGGGGGCGAGGGGAGCGGCGCTGCCCAGCTGGCAGACCCTTTGCTGTGTTTGGATCACGGAGGCAGCTCGTCAAGCCAAGCCCTTTGGCGCCCGCCCATGTGGCTCCGTATCTGGGCCCAGAGCAGGAGGCTGCTGGAGGCACATGTCACAACCGACAGTGTGCGTTCTTGTTCTGGCTTCGGGTCTTTTGAGGGTGGGTGGGTGTGGGTGTGGGTGTGGGTGTGTGTGTGTGGGTCTTTTGAGGGTGTGTGTGTGTGTGTGGTGTGCATGAGGCTGTGTGGGTGAGCTGGGACGACATCTGTCTGCCGGTGTGGAGTGTGTTCCAGTTGCTGGTGTGTGTACTGTTGCTGGTGTGTATAGTGGTAGTGTGTGTGCGCGCATGCGTTCCACCTTCCTTTGTTTCTCTCCCTGGGGGGTAGCTGGTCAGACAGGTTGAGAGACCCTGGCCTAGTGACTCATCCCCTGCCCTGCTGGGCCTGCCACAGACAGTGGGGGGGAGGGTCACCCACAGCCCCAGCATAGAAACCAGCAAGGTACCCCCCACTATGTCACAGGGGTATCATTTGCCGAAGGGTGTGGTGTGTGTATAGTGGTTGCCAGTGTGTAGCAGTCGGCTGTGTGAGCAGTAAGGACAGGGGAATGTTAGTTGTCGGTGTGTGTAGCAATAGGCTGTGTATGGGACGTGGTGGGGGGAAGGTGTGTCGGTTGGTGGTGTATGTCCTAGTAGCTGATGTGTGTAGTGAGAGGCTGTGTGTGTTTGGGGGAGTAGTATCTGTTAGTGGCATATGTACCAGTTGCCCTTGAGTGTGTAGTGGGAGGCTCTGTGTGTGCACATGTGTGCGCGGGGGGAGTGTACCAGTTGTGGGGTGTGTAGTGTTAGGCTGTGGGGTGTGTGTGTGTGTGTGTACCAGTTGCGGGGTATGTAGCATTAGGCTATGTGGGGGGGCTGTACCAGTTGCAGGGTGTGTAGTGTTAGGCTGTGGTGTGTGTGTGTGTGTACCAGTTGCAGGGTGTGTAGTGTTAGGCTGTAGGGGTGTGTGTGTGTGTGTGTACCAGTTGCGGGGTGTGTAGTATTGGGCTGTGGGGTGTGTAGTGTTGGGCTGCGGGGTGTGTAGTGTTGGGCTGTGCGTGGGTGTGTGCGCACCAGTTGCCTTTGTGTGTCACTGTGAGCCCCTGATGCTCGGGTGGTTCTGGTGGCGCAATGGGCGCGTGTCTGGGCCGGGCCCCAGGGCGGGGGCGGCTCCCAGAGCTGGCACCAGACCTGAGTGGCCGCGGCTCCCTGGCCTCTC